AATAACAGATAAAATGTTCACGTCGCTATGAGCAGCGCGTGAATCGGACAGTTGCTGCCGCTGCGATTATCGTCCCGCTGCGGGAAAACTATATTTTGCACAGCAAATGGGATTAGTGAGAGAGCGGTCAGAAAAATCGTAAAGAGTATATAAAATTCAAATAGTGGTGTATGGCATTGTGCCTTAAGGCAAATTGCTGGAACTTCCCGTACCGTATTTATAAATCTTGGTACGAAACTTTAAAAAAATTACACAAAATGTGTACACATTATTAAAATCTCTATAAAGTATCTAATAATTTGATGTAAATATGTCCAATAAACATGTTTTACCGCCAAATGACATTTTTTAACTTATTTTTATTGAGAGTCCATAACCGCAGGACCTGAAGAAGTGATGAAATATTTGGAAAGGCAGGGCCAGCGGTCATGGACTCTCAATAAAAAGTTAAAAAAAATGTCATTTGGCGGTCAAAAATGTTAATTGGACATATGTACATCAAATTATCAGATACTTTATAGAGATTTTAATAATGTGTACACATTTTGTGTAATTTTTTTGGGTTTCGTACCAAGATTTTTAATTACGGTAAGGGAAGTTCCAGCAATTTGCCTTATGGCACGATGCCATGCACCCCACTAGTTAATAGTATTTATTGTTCGAATTCGATGTGCATTTGTGTCTATTCTTTTCGACAATATAGTACCTATGGTCCACTATATCTCTGGTGCAAAAATACAATTATAAGTAAGTGTCAAGCGTCCATAAAATTGAATTACGGTCCAACCGGATTGCTTTCCGGCGACTGCTCTGAAATTTATAGAAATAATATGATATATAAACCACCCTACAAGATTTTGTTTTAACCCCCGGACGATCACATATTTTTTATCCCATAGAATAAATCGATTTCGAAGTAGCGCCTCGACTGAATTTAAAACACACAAGGAAAAGAAATGTATTTGACTTTGAAGGAGATATTTATGCATTAGTCAGAAACTCTGCAAATTTTTAAATTAAATGTATTCTTGACGTTTCAAGTTGTTCTGAATCGCTTGACACCAAATTTTAAACATGTATGTATGTGAAATGTTTATGTGAGGCGAAATTATACCTTCAAGTTGATTTTCTCAGATTTTTATAAATATTTTAAGAAACAATTGACTAATATGTCCAAGAAATTAAAAAGTTTCTTAAAAATCGTTTATTGCCTAACACTTTAATCGCCATATCAGTCACACGTGTCTTACAATAAGTTCTACATACACGCGACTACATAGATTGAGAAAGACTGGCCATTCGTATGGCTCCCTGTCAGTCATATACGGTTGACATAAAAAGTAGGAATTTTGTCCAAAATATTCTTTTTTACAGTTACCATGGGTCAAGAATTTTTTTTCTGATATTTTGGTGACAATTGACGTGTTAAATCACTAATTCATTCTCGATTATTGTTTGCAATAAAATTTAATGCAATTATATCACATGTGGCTTCGGGTAACTCCGGGTAAAATAATGTATTACACAATTCAATATATAAATTCATATATAAATTTAATTAAGATTTAAATATGAACTCCTTATAAACACAGATTCATCATTTTAATTCTCATTATATGATTGCAATAGATACCGGCATAATTATAATATGCATAAAAATGTATGGATATGACATTTACCTAACCTAACCTAACATTACAACTATTTTTGAAAAATGTTGAAGCGACTTACCCATAACAGGAGTATTGCTTGCAACTTATATTATTCAAATATAATTCAATAATCATCCTTAAATTAATTAATCACTACTGTCGATTTCTATTTGTATAATAAAATATTAAAAAAAAAGCTTTAGAAAAAATGCACTTCTTCACACTTAAGGCGTCTATTGCTGTCAAAATAAAAAACAAAATGGCAGAAATCGGCAAAAATTGAGAGCGAAGTGAAGTTGTATCCCAATCTCAGTGAATATCAAACTTTTTTTAAACCTGGAAAAACACAATTTGTCAAACTGTAACATCAGAGCGTTTTATTTTATGCCCAACATTTAATTTTAAGTGAACATCATTGCTAAAGGTTACGAATTTTGATAATATTTATAGTAAATGATGAGGTTATCAATTTGCAGTATTTATGTAAAGTGGTAATAAATAATATTGAATTTGAAACTTAATTTTTAATATGGTAATTACCTATAAAATTTTCTATTACCATTGCAGTTTCAAAACTCATTTATATCTCAGTAAATAACAAACTTTTTTCAGAACCCTATAAGATTAGAAACAATATAACTGAGTTATCGAACTGTAACATCACAGCATTTTATTTTATGCTCAAACTTTAATTTCCAGTGATCATTGCTAAAAGTTACGAATTTTGATGGTATTTATAAAACATGATGACTTTTATCATATGCAGTATCTAAAGTGTCAATAATATAATATTGAATTTCGAACTTAATTTTAAAATTTAAATTACCTATGGGAATCTGTTTTATCATTGCAGTTCTAAAACTTAGTTATAACTGAGTTTATACCAAACTATTTTTTTAACTGTATTAGATTAGCAAAAACTTAACTAAATTATCAAACTGTGGCATCAAATCATTTTATTTTATGTTTAAAATTTAAGTTTGAGTGATCAATTTGAGTAAAAATTTCAAATATTGATATTATTTATAAAAAATAATGAGTTCAATCATAGGCAGTATATAAAGTGGTTATATTATAATATTGAATTTCTAACTTACTTTTAATATGGAATTACCTAAGGAAATTTATACTATCATTGCAGTTCCAAAACTCAGTTATATCTTACAGTAAATATCAAACTTTTTTTAAAACGTTATAAAATTAGAAAAAACACACAGCCTAAATTATCAAACTGTAACATCAAAGCATTTTACTTTAAGTTAAAAATTTAATTTTAAGTGATCATTGCTAAAAGTTACGATTTTTGATATTATTTATAGAAAATGATGAGTTTTTTTAATATGCAGTATGTATATATAGTGGTAATAACTTAATATTAAATTTCAAATTTAATTTTAAAACTGAAATTACTATTGTCATTGCAGTTTCAAAACTCAGTTATATCTCAATGAACATCAAACTTTTTTTAAAAAACTTTGTATGATTAGAAAAATCACAAAAAAATATAAAACTGTAAATATTCAAGATCTATAAAATATGATCAAATCACAGACACAGGTAAAATAGTATTTTGTATATAAACTTAAGCTCTTGATGTAGTTTCAATTTTAGTTGATTTGCATTATATTTATTTTTATAGACAATCCTTAATATTTTATAAGCCTTTATACTCTTCTAGTTTTCCTTAGCCTATAGTCCAATAAGAACCGGTTTTGAGACTGACTGTAACATTTAAATTTTTGCTGCTTACTCTTGAACAATTTCACTTTACAGATTTTACATATAAATAAATAAATCTTAGAATGCGATCAAAGATATTTTGTCTAGACAAGACATAATATTGATTTATAGTAAACTGTTTGGAATTTTGCATCAGATTTTATCCTTAAAATGTAATATATACATAATATTCAACTTCATTATTTTTAATAGTTACACCAATAAAATCGATTGAATGTCCTATGTGGTAAAGCAATCAAATATAGAAATAAACTTCCAAAGCCTTACGACAAAACCATGCATACACATACTTTTCATATTTCGGAGCCAAACGATTTAGAATGACTAGTATCGTTGAGGTAATATATAATTAGCAAGTCGGATTTTACAACAAAATAAAAAAAAAGTTATTAAGTTATTAAGTATAATCAACAACCAAAGTCATTTGCCAAATGACTTAATTTATCTAAACAGAACCACCTTTAGCTATGATATCTAACTTTTCCCATCTATTGCCAGAATAATTTGACAAGATTATCTTTCTTATAAATGTCAACTAAACGAGACGTCCTAAAATAAAAGTGAAACCAGCCAGACTTCAACAAAAATCAAATAAAAAATGTAATATCTGTCGCAGAAAATCTAATCCCCCATATGTCTTACCAGAATATATCCCGTTTGAAAATGCTCTACTGATAGCCTGAAGAAAATTCAATTTTCTTTCTGACGCCAGGCTATTTTTTGGAAAATAATATTGTGAACTTTTGTTACTTAAGCCGAATTTTTAAGTATACATATATATATATATATATATATATTATATATATATATACTATAAACTCAGCAGTGCCGAATATAAAGTTAATTGCAATGATTGTAATTCCTGTTATATCGGAGAAAGTTTTTAATATATTTTTATAATATTAAAAAAGTATTCGTAATTCAAAAAGTCTCAAACAATTTACACCAGGTATACACACTATATTCACAACTATGTTAAATCAAAAATCAAAATTAATTCATAAATATAATGCACATTTCAAATATAATATAAACTGACTTGATCCTCGAATAAAGTTTAGTTAATTTTATAAATAAGACAAATATTTTAATGCAAACATATATTCTCTTTTTTTTAATTTTTGATTACAGTTATCTTATAAACTAACTTACAGGTACATTTTTTTTTTGCAAGTGCAATGTGTTATTTAAGATGGATCTTTAGGTAGATACCCGGAGAAAAGGAAAAAGATAAATGATTAGATTTTAAATAATTAGTAGAATAAATTTAATAGATCAGAATCTATCGAAATATCAAATAATATTTGTGAGATCTTCGTAGTGAATCTGAAGAATGTTATAAATAATAAAGAATACAAAGTGTGGTGGACAGTTACAAAGTTTTGTGCATGGTGCTAAGAAATAGGTGGTGGATCACGAAATATTTTGTATTGTCACAAATACAAATACATTTTTTCAGGTTTTATCAATAATATGAAGTTATAGTAGAGTAGAAGGCGTTACAGATAAGTCATGTCAGTCCAATAATATATAAAACATATTTATCCCAGCCAGACTGTCCTAATCAGTTCCTTGAGTTGAGTATTGTTTATTGTAGATGTATCATTTTTAATGGCAGAATGGATAATTTGGGCATTTGTAGGCAGATACTCCATCAGGATAAAGTCTGTGGGCAAATCCTGGTAATGGAGGAGCGTGGTAAGCTGCTCCAATGGTGTTGTCGCAGTATGGATAATTTGGGCAGGTTGATGGGTCAACTCCAGCTGGTATCTAAATTGATAGAGATTAATTCTTAAATATATTTAAAATTAAAAATCCTTAGAGGAATAATTCCTAGTATAGTTTCCCAAATTTATACAAAAATAAAAAATCTACACTATTGATTATTGTTATAAGGCCTGAAATGCCATTATTGGCGTTGTACCCAAAATCTTTGTTCAGAAAATAAAATTGATCCGAGAGTGTTGAAAGAGCATTGCTGTTCCTATATCATTTGCAACCTTAATTATTCGATTGATTTGAATTTTAGCTTTGTATTTTATTGTAGTTAGTTCAATTGTGGTAATTTATATTTTGTAACGAGTCTAATCTCAAATCCAAAATATATGAAATATGAAATATGATCCACTTTTATTAGGCTGGATTGTTCCAAATTAGGTATAACTCTACATCATTTATTTTTTTATTTGCAAAGTTTTATTGTCAATCAAAATAATATACATTTTTTAAGACAATGTGCTGTAAAGTTAATGCATTTAAGAGATTATCTCCTAAGATATATCCCTCTTTTTTTATTTTTTGACATTTTATTTAAGATCGTAAGGCCATTTTTTCTTCAATCTGTGTGGGATATTCCTCGCTTAATACTTTTAAATATATGTTTGGGTGACCTGGTAGTTTTTCGTGGTATTTTTTGCTCCTTTCTTTTATCATTTCATTAATAGATTTTATTTTTAGGTCTTTATGTAGGGTGTCATTTGTAACATACCAGGGTGCGTTCACAATGCATCTGAAAATTTTCGATTGCGCTACTTATATTTTTTTATACTTGAATTGTTTGCGCACGCCCATAGCTCAATGCCGTATGTCCAGATTGGGATAATTATTGTTTATATAAAAGGATTTTGTTTTTATAGCAATATTTGAACTCCTAACTCTACATCAAGATTGTATATTAAACAAATCCTTATGAATAAATAAATGTACGATAGGTAGTACTGCCCCAAGGCAGGTCCGTGAGTTGAGTTAAACTCCAACTCGATTTAAGAAAGAATATTTATGAGACTTAAATTTAGTTAATTTTTAAATATTTGAATGTATATATGTATGTATAATTTAACTAAATGTATTAATATCAATTTGGATAGATATACATAGTTTATAATTTATGATGCCTTGATAATGTATACAAATTCGAACTCAAATAAAATTCTCATGAGAAAAAACTTTTTAAAGACGTTTTGCGGAGGCTGCTTCATACAACTTGAAAGCAAATTTGCAGTATATAAACGAAATGACCCAAAATCTTTGCAATTGGTTCGAAACTAAATCACAAGTCTAAAATGAAGTAAAATTTTAACTACACTGTCAATTTATAAATGATTAGCATACCGGGCGAACTCCGTTTCACCACCAGATGGTTTCATTTTATGTAACATTTCGTTTGGTGATTAAAAGATGAAAAAAAAAATTGCCTGCTGTTAAAATTGAATAAAAATTTGCACAATACACGTGATTGATTTGATGGTTTCCAATTGAAATGTTGGGAAACAAATAACTTATTTTTTTACATTTTTTGCACAATTTCACAGTGAACACAATGCCGGTTTGTCACATGAAATTAACTAATAACAATAATAACTAATAATTAACATGAAGTATCAGAGATGACGTATGTAAAAAAGAAAAAATGTTTTCCGCTTTTCTGTTGAAATTTTTCTTCAATTTTCTCAGCTATAAACCTTGCGGAGCCCGAGACCTTTCCAACGAATGCAAAATTGTCGAAATCGGTTCGTGCGTTCTGGAGTTATATCGTCAGGAAGGAAAACCCGACTTATTTTTATATAATAGATATTGATATTTATATCCATAGTTTGTAAAACTATTAAAATTAGAACACAACTTTTGCAGTCATGTTCAATATAGTTAATAAGTTGTATAAAGAAGCGTGTTAAGCTGGTCCAATGGTGATAAATTTCAAATTTTTCAATCAAAATAACTACAAACATTTGATATTTTTAATGTTTTTAAGGAAATATGTCCGATTGTTAATAAAAATGATAAAAAATCTTAAAACTCTCTTAAAAATCATTTTATCCATTCTGTACGACTAGATACACCGATCACATAAGTCTCCTAATACATAGAACTTAAAACCTTCTCCATCTGACAAATATTTTTTTTATAATATACTAACTTGGCGCCCCCAACTCCGTGGTAATCGTGATGATCGTAATGAATTGGAGCTACTGGTACGACTGGGGCGTGGGCAACAGCATACTGGGCGAGAAGCAAATTATCACAATGGGGATAACCAGGACACAGTGCAGGATTTACTCCAGCCGGGTAACGGGCACCAGCATGTTGAGGTAATCCATAAACCACTGCTAAGCAGATGGCGGAAAAAGCCAAGACCTATGGTAAAAGATTGAGGAATTCAATGATAGATTTAAATTCCTCGACGAACCAGAAGTTTAGCGCATTTTATTTATTATTAGGCAAGATGAGATAATACATTCAGAGTTCATAATATGTTCACAATGAAGGATCATGAGAAAAAATTAAATCGAAGTAAAATTGTAGGTAACATAACCCAAATTCCTTTTGCTTTGGTCAATCATCAACAAACTTAATGAAAATAAACTTTTTAATTGCATGTACTTTATATATCATTTGGGAATAGATATAATCACATATAAAACCTTCCTTGAAGCTTGATTATTTTAACATATGATTTGATTTTATAGTTATTGAAAATATAATAAATTTTTACAAAGTCAAATCTAATGAACAAAACCGATTTTCTGGCGCAAACTCTTTTTCGGGAAGTTGAAACTAAATTATTTAATACAATAATTAACTTTAATATAATGTTTGATTCAAAAAAAGGCTACTTTATCAGTGGCACAATAATCTTGCAAGCAAAAGGTTGCGAGTTCAAATTCCGCACTACATACAACCTGATATCAAGCAGTAGTAATATTTATTTCTACTGGAAAATATAATCCAAACATGGTTTCAGATAAAAATATCATATATCACTCACACTTTACAACTGGGCACCATAAACATTTCAGCAGCAAAAGAAAGGGTAACCATTGGGTTGCCTTCTAATAAAGATAGCAGGAAATATATTAGACAACAACTGATAAAACAAAAAAATAGTTATGAATACCATTCGAAATGTAATAAAAATTATTGAAATAAGCAAAAATATTATTATAACATTTTCAGGAAATTAAAAATGATTAGCTAAAAAAAGTAATTGAATTTATTATAATGGTATAAAAAAGAAGGCATTGAATATTTACTGTCACTATTTTTAGCATACAACAATCTCGCAAAGATAGAGTTGCAAGTTCAAATACTGTACTACGTACGACCAGATATCAAGCAGTAGTGATATCTGTTTTTTGGAAAATATAAATCAAAACTTGTCTTCAAGTTAATACAGCATATATCACTCATACTTTACAAGTATGTACAGTAAAAATTTCAGCACAAGGACAACCATTGGGTTGCCTTCTAATAAAATTAGCAGAAAATACTGTACACATCAGTTGATAGAATAAAAGGATAGTTTTGATTACTATTCAAAATTAAATAAAAACTATTATAAAAAGCAAAAATATTATGAAACTTTCAGGAAATTAAAAACAAATTGCTTTTTTTACTTTTTTACTATTTTTCATTGTTTACCTTTACCATTGTCGGGGTAAAGATTTAGTTGGTTCTTTTTACCCCACCCACGTGTAAGCTTTTACAGAGGATAATATAAAAAAAACTTTTGAATCTAATTCAAAATCAACAATACATCTTATAAGACCATTAAATAACGTATACTAAAAATTATATAAAGGCCTCGTAAACTAAACAACAGTGCTCACATACAAATAAACTAACAACGAAAGAAAACTTTTGTTATGGATTTTCAAACATTGTCGTTTATCTCCCTATAGCAACATCGTAAGAATCAAGGTAATGGCTGGTAATACATTTTTGTTCCTCTACTTTCAAATATTGTTGTTGAAAAATTCTTAACTTTACTTATTTTTGAAATATCGGTGGTGGTAAATTATTATTCATGAATTTTTAAGCCCTGTTCTACCCTTTATCACACACACACACTTTACAGTAAAAATTTTAAGACAAAAACAAAGGACAACCATTGGGTTGCCTTCTAATAA